TTTATAAATTTAAAATTTATATTTTTATATATTTTTTTAATTTTAAAATTAATCTCGAACCAAATATCGAGACTAGGTATTATATACGCCAACAATCATGGTACTCACTCCCATTGCTCACAACTTCATTGTTGTCTATGAAATAATAAGACATATCAAATATATTTTAATGGTAATATTTATTAAAACTAAATTCTATAAATATAGTTACATATATGATTTTTTCGTCTTGATGTTAAACATAATATCTTGATATACAAATCAAATCTAATAAATTAGATTTTTGTTCTTTTGATTTTGTGATAAGAAAATTCAATTTTTTATATGTAAATTTAACTTTAAGTATTCAAGATATTTTTATCACCAAAACCAACAAAATATGCCCACAGAAATCTTAGTCACATAGCAAGAAATATAGAAAATAAGTCCATAGAAATTAATAATTAAAAAAAATACGTGCATCTATAAAAATATAATCTTAATTAAAAAATTACTCATTAGAGTCTTTGTAACACCCAACATATGCTTTTATTTTTATTTTTATTTTTTAAAGTATAGTTATTTATTTAATTTATTTAAATTTATTTTATTTTATTTTAATTTAATGAAAAAAGGGGTAAAATTTGTTAAGGATTAAATTGAAAACAATTTTGGAAAAAAGGTGTGAAAATTTGGAGTTTTGAATATTTTGGAAAGAAAAATTAAAAATCGGGGGTCAAAATACAATTTAAAAAAATTACGCTACGTCAGATGCCCGGTCAGCAGTCCCGACCAACTAGGACGCGCCAAGTGGTAGAGGCGTTGACGTGGGAGGCAACGCGGGGGGGAGCCACGTGAGCGATCCGCATGCACGCGATCGAATAGCTGAGGTCCGTTCCTGTGCGCACGGACGGCCCAGATTGAAATTGTGCACGAACGACCCAGATTGAATCGCACACGGACGGCCTAAATTGAATCGCGATGAACGGTCCATATTCACTCCCTATTAAATCGCGATCGAACGATTCAGATCAAAAGCGATGGACGATCCAGATCAAAAGTGGATGTGTATAAATAATCTCATCCGCACCCAAACTCTAACCCTAGCCGCCCGAATCCCTCACTGGAGAAGACAACCCAGCCGCCGGGGAGCCGACTGTCGCCACCTGCCGCCGCACCGAAACCTTTTCCGACCCCCAAAAAAGGTAAAAAATTTCCCTCTTGCACGAAATTCAAATTTAAACTCAACCATAGCCAAATCGGAGTAAAAGAACAGGCCAATTGGCTGAAAAACGCTGTCAAAGCCCGGCGGCGCTGCCGCAGAAAATTTCACAAATCGCCTCCAATGAGGCTCTTCTCGATTCTCATTTTGCGTAATTTTTCCACTGTTGTGATCACCGTTTTCTTCTCTATAGGTTGACCGGAGCAAAACACCCAACCGCAATGTGAGCCGGAGGAGCCGTCGCACCAGAGAGTTTTGCCGCAGTTGAATTTTGATTTTCTACATTTTTTTTGCCAACTGAGGGCCGTAAGTGTGTTTTCTCGCTGAAACTAATACAAATTTGGTTGAATTCGGCCGAAAACAGCCAACCCGAGGCAGATCGCCGTCGCCGGAGTACGACAAAGCCGCCGTGCCGGATTTTTAAAATTGACCGGGTAGGTGGTGTGACTGATTTTTGAGTTTATTTGGGATATTTATAAGTACTGTAAGTGCATTTTAGTTTTCAAAAAAAATTTAGAGAACTTAGGGACCAACCGTAAGCGCAGTAAACTATTAAGGTTTTTGACATCAAATCAAATAAGGACCCATCACCCTATTTTCTATCATGGAATTGAAGTTTGAATAAATGATAATACTATATTTTGTACAAATTAAATAGATGTTCATAATTAATTACGGATTGCTAATGGAGCCCGAACTGGACATTATTCTCTGTTGATTTCTATTTATTGATCTTGCAGTCTAAAAGCATGATGGTTTCTAGTTTATCTATTTTATGGTTTAAATGCATTTATTATTGACTTATTTGACTACTGTTTGATTTTGGGATCTAAGAATATGATTGCATTGCCGGATACATGTTTATTTGTTTATGTAATTATGTTTGATTTGGTGATGGAGACTAAGGAAAAACAGAAAAAGGGTGTGATATAATAAACAGATAAGATGACAACGTCGCTAGATATCCTGGGAGATGGTGGACGGACCAGGTTCATAAGGAATCCTACCGCGAATGTTGTCTCATACCGGACGGGGTATGGAGACTTAGTAATTTGACGCTCATACTGGACAGGGTATTGAGGTTTAATGTCTTGGTGTTCATACCGGACGGGGTATAGGGTTGGCTATATAATTAAGACTGTTAAGGAAAAGAGTTCACGTGTAGCGAGGACACCCTTATGGATCCCCATGAATATTAGTAGGCTAGTGAAACAAGAAACGGTTATAATTTAGTTTATTGTTAATAAATGTGAATTTATGATATGTTCTATGTTGCTGATCGTGCATGAAGTTATGATCCGTATGATATTATTGCTTATATAATTTGTTTCATAAATTCTCCAATGGTAAGTAAAAGGGTAAATGATTTTATTTTTAATAAATGTATTGGTTTAAATTTAGTACTCCATTGGTTATTTTTGATTTTCTACCAACCTTTACTTCTGTGCCGGTGATATAGTATGATGTCCTTACTGGGTTAGTGTAGCTCATCCCTTATTTAACCATTTTAGATCTAGAGGACCTGGTTCCTGAGACCGATCCGTAAGAAGATTGCGAGTAGACACTAGATACTTTATATTTTCCTTTATTTTTCTCATTTATCGTGTTTCTTTCAGAGAATTCATTTCGTGATGTTTGTTTAGTACTTTTAAGGTATTGTATAAGCGATGTAAATCTCAACTTTTTATTTCGCTTCCGTACTTAAATTATTATATATTTCTTTTAGATTTCCAGAGTTGTTACAGTCTTAAATAACTTAACTGATAAATATGAACATTATCTTCTTTGCTAAGGATATTTTTTATTAGATAAACACACCAAAAATCATCACCATAAACATAACAAGTGAAAATTGAGATACTTTCTAAAAAAAAGACCCCAAAAAATTTATTTTTTTTTAAAAAACATCCTTATCTTAAGAAAAAAAAAAGAGATAATAAAATATAAAAAGTGAAATTTTGATTATATATAAAATAGATTTTTTAATGAAATAGAACTAAATTTATTTTATTTTTTTATAATTGTTAACATAAAGTTATTATCTATTATTTTTGTTGAAGTAAAATAATATATTTTATTCTAAACAAAATAAATTGATGTACTTCTTTTTTTAAAAAATTAAGTAATATAAAGTATATTTAATTATTCTCTCATTTCTTTTTGTTTAATGTAAGAAAAATTATTAATTATTTATTCTCATCTCATTAGTGAGTAGGGTGGGAATATGAACTATAAAATGTTTTGTTAATATAATTCAATTGATAAAGAAAAATGTACTGTTTATAATCTACACTATTATTATTATTATTTTGCAAATTTAATTAAATTACCAAAATATTTCTAATTATTTTATTAGTTAAATAATTGATATGTCTATTTTTCTATAAAAACTTTTGACTTTAATTTAAATTATGCTTATGTGTGCATTTTTATTTAAAGATTATTTGTATTATAATTAATTACTTATATGAATATATAAATGTAATTAAAAAAAATTATTCATATAATTATAAAGTTGTTAAAATTATTAAATAATGCACATATATCCATGACTATTTTAAATTTACTTTGAATTCCTTAATTTTATATCTTCCCTTATATATTTTTATTTTTTTCAAATAATTAGTCCTTTTATATATTTATTTCTACCAAATTACTTATTATTTTTGTAAAAGAACCATTGTTAATCTTAGTTTTTAGTTCCTTTAATTTTTCTAGAAAAATCATTATATATCAATGGTTATATAATCTATCTAATACTAATACTAATACTAATACTAATACAATTATTTGTGATATAATACAAAATTATTTATTAAAAACAAAAATAAAGATTAACTTTGTCTATTTTAGCCCAATAAATATTTTCAAAAATTTATAAAATATTAATATAATACAAATTAAGAATTAACTTTGACTAATTTATATTAGTGAAAGTTTTTTAATTTTTGAACAACATAAATACATCGATGTATACTTGCTGAAACTAAAGATTTGAGGAGATATTTTTTCTAATATCTGCTAAAACAGAAAAATTCATGTACTATAACCTAACTATTGATATATACCGGCAAAACTTACCATAGATATAACATATCTATATATGCATGTTACATTCCCTATATATATATATGTGTGTATATGTTAATCTACTGATAAGTCTGGGCTAGAAGACACAGTAGTTCATATCCTGCTCAAATGGTTAGTCAAGAGTTGGATGAGATTCAAGTGCTTTTGCAAGTCATGGTCAACTCTGATACACAATACATAAAAATATATATTCTGCTTGCGTAAACCATCATGGTTTAATACAAAATCACATAATTATTTTACTTAATTCTGCTTGCAGGAACAACTTTGTTTAAATGATTCAAACTAATCACCGTGATCAACATTCCTCACAATTATGTGTACGTATATATATATAGATATAGATATATATACAGCTCTCTGCCTAATATTTATTCATCTATATGTGAAGAAGCACATGGGTGGTACAAATCTGTTTAATTATATACATATATATGTATATATATATCTGTTATTAAGTCTCTGTTATCTACCATTAATTGTGGCTCTTGACACAAAGGAAGGCGTAATAAGTGTCCCGTATTTTGTAGTGATTTGCTCACTTTGAGTAGCTTAGAACTAAACTTAGGTGAGTAATGAGAATGATTTAGTTTCATTTATATTTTGTTCTACTAATAAATACTCTCCCCAAGTAACATAAAACATCTCTCGCACTCAATTTTCCATTTCATTTTCTTCCCTTCTTCCTCCTCCCAAACATACCCTTGGAGTAAAAGCAAGTAAACATAACCCCAAAATAACTTAACCAAAACCAAAATAGTTACATATATCCCACCTTAAAGATCTTTTTGAAGAGGAGAAAACCAGCATTTGGAAACAAAAATTGGGAAGCTACGTAAGCCGTTTATAGTCATTGCCAGCAACTCCAACGAAGCTTGAGAATGTTCTTTAAGTGTAATCCCACATGGATTACGCGGGCTTGTAACCCGAGTGGGGGCTTTGAATTGGTTGGAGATTGATTTTGGCCCTGAAGGTTGGACTATGGGAAGGTTGATTTCTGGCCCCGCCCATTCCCAAGGAGAGAGTTGAGCTTTCGAGTCTTGAGCGTAAGTTCGGGGCTCGATGCCTCCTAGAGCGGAGGGGACAGCGAGAGGCTGGTAACAGAGCACAACGAAGACCTCCCGCTCTCTTCGTTGGAAGGATAACGGGCCGGTGCTTTCCATGCCCAGTAGCTCCTGATGGGCCGACCTCAATATATGACAACAATTTTTTTAAATTTAAATTTTGCAGGTATCCTGATGTGTTTACACATCATTGAATGATTTTTGTTTCTGGGTGGAAATTGAAGGTATGTAATTCCGCATCGAGTATGAATCCCGTCTTTGATTTAGTACTCTCTGCACTCAAAAGTAATCGGACTCCGATGGTCTCTACAAAGTTTATCAACTTGCAGGTTCCTATCTTTCTTTTTCCTTGTTCTTCTCTGCATTTAAACTGTGGAATCGTTAGGGTGTGTTTGGACGATGGTTTATTAATGGAAGTTACGATACTTTCATGGTTTATTTGCATTTCTAGATGCATGATATAATTTTTTGGTAGTTTTTGCATGGTTGTCAAAAATATGAGGCATTATGCCTCTTCTTCTTCTTCTCAAAAAACAAGGGTTTGAGAAATTGCAGCGGCGACCTAGGGTTTCTTCGCGCTTTCACCTCTCTCGAGCTTCGACTTCTATTCCGTATTTCTATGGAGAAAGGGAAAGAGAAGGAAAACTCGATGGGTTTGTCGTTTCTGTGAGAGTTTGCAACGAAGACAAAGGGCCTGGAATTCTTTTCTTTTTCTCAGTTTGGGAAGAGGAGGAAGATTTTGTTTTAAGAGAAGAGGCGAAAAGGAAATATCAGAATCTGGGAACAGTTCTGTAATAACCCAGTCCGAAAGATCGGTAGTCGGATGCTTATAACATTCATAATGGGAAAATATATGATATAAACATAAAACCTGATACGATCATAATGGGTTTCAAATCCTACCAACGAAAGTAAAACCTGTTACTAGTTACCTACTGCCTTTCTCTGTTTGTTTTTTTTTCCTGTTTCAGCTGCCTTGTATTTATATTACTCTGCACTGTATGAGACTCTTATCACATCTTGCTTCTACAAAACTTCGATTTTCTTTTCCCTCTGCTTCTGGGACTACGTTGACTGTGCCGGGATCATCTTCCTGTTTTATGTGATCTGGAAAAACAACATTAGATAATAGGATGAGCATAAAACGCACCAGTTCAGCACCTCAAGCAATCAGAATCTGATTTACGGTACAGTAACTCATTCACCCATGTGGGTGTTTTCCTCAATTCTTTGTCACTTACCTGTAATCTCCCTTTTATTCTCCTCCTGCAAGTTTCTTCAAATCACTTTCAAGCATTTCCAACTACCAAACAGATTATACACATTTAACAAAATGATCCATGTTTATTTTACTTACCTCGTTGCCCATTCTGCAGAGCTGTATTTATTTACCTGTATCATTCTTTCTCATTGATTTTTGGAGCTTGGATATTTACAGCAATTTTTCTCCTAGTAAATTGGAACATTAAAACAGTGCATATATGTAACTAAGGTCACCCAACACAGCCACTTACGTAATTGACTCACACTTCTCATTCTCACCATTACACCTCTCTTCATTCTGTTTTCCCTTAATTTCCATCCAACCAAATTTCACACCCGGCTCCCCAGTTCCATTCTCTATTTACATTTGTCACACCCGAATGTAACTCACGCACACCGACCACAAGGGCCACACACACAAACACAGTTTACACTTTACATATTGAACCCGACTGTTCAGAGTCTCCTCTTTCTCAGCCACATCTCTGGCCTTATTTATCACACACATCAGGGAGACTCTCTTCCATTCGGACCCTCTGATTTTCGGTACACTCTGCTGACTGAGTATGGGTCAGCTGTTCCACATCACACGGCCAACACAGGCCACACACACACACCACAACAAGAGACCTTCAACACAGAAAAATATGTTTCAGTTCCAGCTCAATCCCATCCTACAGTTAGCCTCTAATTTGAATCATTTAATCCTCCCAATTTTGTCTCGTTTCTACCCACCCTATTCTAGATTCAGCACTCAACTCCATTCAAGTCTTACTTTCAGTAGTTCTAGTCTAGTATCATTCCCAGTAACAAACCCTCAGTTTAATTATGTGAGACGTCTAAGAGTTTCCTTTAACTACCCTTACTTTGTTCACTGTTATCTGTCACCCTGGACACTTACTCTTATTCTTCTCCTCCTCCATGTGTTTGGTTAGTCAGGTTTCTGTTTCTAATTTACTTCCAGATTTCATTTGATTGAAAGTACCTACCCGGAACCCCTTCTTGCACTCTGGCTCTGCCTGTCTTTCCCTGGACAGCTTCTTTGTATACTTCCAGATTTTTCTTTTCCTTTCATGTTTTGTGTAACACCCAAGTGTTATTATTTTTATTTTTTAATTATTTAAATTTTTTAGATTTTTAATTAATTTAATTTGATTTAATTTAATTTAATTTCATGAAAATAAAAATAATAATAATGATAAAATTGGGTAAAAATATTATTTGGATTTAATTGAAATTGATTTTGGGAAAAAATGGGTGAAAATTTGGATTCTCGGGGTGTCTTTGAAAAAAAAATCGGAAACCGGGGTAAAAAAAACGTAATTTAGAAAAGTTGTGCCACGTCAGCACCCACATCAGCAGCCACGTCAGCGGCCCGGTCAGCAGCCCCGGCCAACTAGGACACGCTGCGTGGCAAGGAAACGCTAACCAGGGGACAGGCCACGTGGGC